TTTAATTATTATTGTGGTTACATCTATTAACTGGAATTTGCCTTTGTGCCAGCCAAAGTAACTTTGACCCCACTAAGCTATTTAACTATGCTGAGCTTACAGTAAAACTTCAAATTATGTGGGTCTAGGAAAGCAGTAGAATTCATCATTTTGACAAAATAATTGCAGCTGGTTTGGGACCCAAGATGTAAAGAGGTTAAGATTCAAGCAATGTCCACCTGATCAGGAAGTGACAGGCATTACCAGCCATAACATGGCCAACAGTTGGTCAAGTGGTCAAGTTTCTCTAAACACAAAAACAATGCATTTAGAAAAAAAGTGTTAGCAGGGTTAGAGAGAGGACGTAAAAAATAGCTAACAGGGACATTTTCAAGCTTATATCTCAAAATAATTTTAATAGAAGCAATTATTGCCATGGCCTGCCAAAAATTGAACGTATTTTTATGGAAAGAACAGCTCATGCCACTTAGTCACGGTTCAGTGGTTTTCCAAACAAACCCTGCTTAATTTTGTGACCAACTAATGCAACAAGCCTGCTGCTAAGATGCTGATCTCTGTGTTGGTTTCTATGATTACTGACATGGTCCCCTATGAGTTCTGGCTCTTCATAGCAGTTTTACTCTATGAAACTCAATTTCAGAGTTAAGAGTTTTCTGTCTGGTTATGTTGTTGCTATGGTATGGTAAACTGAGTTGTTCAGAAATGTCTGGGACTTGCTAACATTATTATAGGAACATCAGCTCACACTCAGATTTTTCCCTTTTACCTCTTGCCTTCTTACCTAATCTGTTTAGGCCTTTACGAAGGTGGTGTTTGGAAAGTGAGGGTCGATTTACCTGAAAAATACCCATTCAAGTCTCCATCTATAGGTAAGCTATGTACAGCTGTATTTATCTTTAGATTTACCTACTGTCACTGAGATTTGCAATCAGCTCATTCCTTTGTAACAACACTTCTTTGCAAAGAGTTGATGAAAATTGTGTTGAAGCCTTGGGACCAGTTACACAAATATTGATGTCCAATATAACTTGTAACATCTGAATTTCAGCCCACTGAAGTCCTGACATGAGGTTTTGCAACAGGTCCCTTTCAGAAAGTTTTGTGAGGAAGCTGAATATTTTTTTTTTCTGGTACATGCAGTGGATCTGAATTTGATTCGTGCTGCTCATAGGTTGTAACTGATTTTCACACCATCATAAAGAGAATGTACAAATTTGTAATCTGTTTTTTTTTAACCATGCAGTGCATTGAAGAAATATGGTTTAATACATTTTTATGTTACCACCTCTAAACGTCTCCAATACTGTCTTCCAATACAACTCACTTTTTAGTGATGACTGCCATGTTTGAAAAAAAGTACAACTGTCACGTGCAAAAATGTGAATTGAAATTATTTAATTTTGTGTTCAATCCTGATAAAACTTGACTTTGATATATTTTTTCTTTTACTTTTGTTTAAGGTTTTATCAACAAGATTTTCCATCCAAACATAGACGAAGCGTAAGTTTTTCTCTTTCATTGTTTTATTGTCTTGTAAACAAAAGTAGTACTTGAAATATACTAGTAATGAGGTATTGACGGTCTGTAACATCTTCGTAGTTCTGGGACAGTTTGCCTTGATGTGATCAACCAAGCTTGGACTGCGTTGTATGGTTAGTGCTGGTAAAAGATAACGAGATTGAAGAAGAATAAATCTTTAACAGTGAAACTTTGATTTAATGAACCTTTATATGTCGCAGTGCCCCAGTAATAGTAAAATATACTGAAAAGAACTTCGATGATGAAACCTTGTTATAGCAAACATATTTTGCCAGTCTCTTGGCCCTTCATTATATCGAGGTTCCACTGTATTTTATTTGTGTGTGTGCTAATCCGGAACGCACAACCCTATTCTTTGCTCGATAGATGACTGATTCATGAAAAGGAAAGCAAAAAGAATTCCTACTGTGACAGTGGTTTGGATACCTGGAGTAAAAATTATAAACATGAATTATTTTGGCAAACTTCTTTTTTCTACTTTTGTTTTGAAGTCTGTTTGCTATTACTATTTCCGATGGACCCAATACAAGTAAGAGTGTCTCACTGGTTACCCAAACACCTTAAAGTCTTTTGACGAATTCACTATTTGGAGATTACATTGAGACAATCCATTTTCTAGTGTTTATTGTATGATTGTGCTGACTGTGAACAGGGAGAAAAAGGGCTCAATTAAGTATGGTTAATGTGCATGTGGTAAGCATCCATTATGACATATTATTTTCCCTTGAAATCACCTTCATTGTCAGTAGGTTCCAGCAAGCTGGAATGTTCTGCTGTATAATATACAGATTGAAGCATGTTTTTGTTTCATTGTGCAGTTTATATTAAAAAATCTGATCGGTAAATGCAGGATTTAATTTCTCAAATCTTTGAAGCCATATTTATTGTTTGCTCTACCTTTTTTGTGATTTGGGCCTGCCTGCCCCTCACCAAATGATTTCTGTTTTTTTGCCAATGTCAGATTTGTCAAACATCTTTGAGTCTTTTTTACCTCAACTTCTGTCTTACCCTAACCCTGTTGATCCCTTGAATGGAGATGCAGCAGCCCTTTACCTTCACAAACCGGAACAGTATAAAGAAAAAATAAAAGGTATGAATAATTAGTACACTGGTGGAAAAAGTATCAGTGAGCCTATTTAGGGCCTTATTCTGTCCACATCCATTTTTGAAAACCATTGGCCACCTAGCACAACTCAAAAACCTTGAATGTTTGGTGTACACTGACCAATGTAGCTTTTATAGTTCTGTGTTTTTTTTCTCTTTAATTCCTTGAGAACTTGCTACTGAGGATTGTGTGTATAAATTTATTCCTTTCAAAAGGAAGTTAGTAGACAAAAAACTGTGCCACGTTATGATAATGACAAAGAGGTTTGAGTGGTGTTTTGTCATCAAAGGATTTTATCCATAGACAGTGACCAACTGAAAATTAGAACTACATTCTTTGTCTTCATTATAATTTGTAAAGTGAAAGGATTATGCTAATATGTTGACTTCATTGTTACTAGAATATATAAAGAAATATGCAACAGAAGAGGCATTGAAAGACCAAGAAGAAATGTCATCATCAAGTGAAAGTTCAATTAGTGACTTTTCAGAAGATGAAGCTCAAGACATGGAGCTCTGACATCAGAGGACTCACTTTTGTATCTTAGGATAACAAAATTAATAATTAATAATAATAATAATAATTACAACATACTATTATTATTATATTATAGGAATCATTCCATCTGGCTAGGTTTTGGTATCTTCTATATTATCAATCTCTTGTTTCTTTATGTTGCATTATAGAACAGTGTGGCACTGCGGAGGGCTAAGAGTCAGTTTAGTTTCATTAGGAACTGAATTTGTTTTTATTTAATTTTTTAATACGCGTAATTTTTTTAACACGTTATTCAAAGAGGAAGCTAATGTGGTACTGAAGAAAAGTGCAATTTGTACTACTCAACTTAGCTTTATTTTTTATGGTGTTTTTAGCATTATTTATTTAGACTCCAAATAAACATACTTCACAAACTTGTAGATTGTTTACAGTCCCCTGTTTTTCTGTAGGATTGTTGAGATCAAGCCCTTTGTATAACGGGTGGCCATCTTGGATGTGGTGAGTGTCAAATCTACTTAAAACTTAGACTCCAGCCTCGTCGGTACATAAGAAATCAAGATGGCCACCTGTTACGGTAAGCACTCAATCCTGACAATCTTAAGAAAAAATAGGGGACTGTGAACAGTGGACAAACTTCAAATTTATTTTGGACCTTGTCAAGTGCGTTAAACAGAGAAAGCACTTCTCAGTCGCTATCATAACTCTCTCATTTTAATAATGAAGGATTTTTGTCTGCAAACTTTTCGGATCATTATATGTTTCTTGGTAACTAACCACCTACCCATCCCCTAAATCAACATTTTGCCCCAAGTGAGAAATAAGTGTTAATGTTGGTTTAGTGGAGGGGTAGGTAGTCAGTTACCCAGATACGTAAAGTGATCCAACTCTTCAACAAGCCGTTTACCTCGTATTCATGTGATCAAGATCAAATTTGAAGTGCTTTTCAGAATACCCTGAATCTTGGTAATACTATTAAAAATACTTCATTTCTGGGGTTATTTTTTAGTTTTCTAATGCATCTGCTTTCTTAATGTTGAAGATACCAGGGCTTAACCACTTTATTGTGAACACTGTATTAATATTAACTTTGTATAATATTGACGCTCAGACAATGTAAATTTGTGCCTTAAAGAATATATTCATAAATGGCTGTCTTTCAACTTCAGTGAAACAAAATGGTAATTTTGTAATGGGAAATGGTATGTGAGACATTTTTCTTTTTCTTTTCTTTGCATATAAATGAAGTTCTGTTTGGTTTATGGCCAGTTCATGAGAAAGGTAGATTAAATATGGCTTTGATTTTCAAGTTCTCCTTGTATCGGATAATTTGATCTATTAAATTGCTTGCAATGAGTCAAGCTTTGCATTTGTTTAGATTTGCAGACATTTGACATTGCCCTTAAAATTTGGTCGAAGTCTGTTCCCTCATTTCGTAGTAATAATCTTATAAAAGGTTTCAAACCACTCATTCACAGTGATTTTTTTATTTTTGAACAGTACTCTTCTTTACCTTAAACTAAAGCATTTACTTGCAAGAGCAAAACACTACTGATTAAATTTTCTGGCTTGTCAGGGAGGCGCTTATAAATAACACAATTTTAGGTAATACTTACTTTTATTTATTTCTCTTGTTCAACAACAATGACAATAGCATTGACAATCAGAGTTTGTTTTGAACACCAATGTTCTTGCCAGATCCAAAAATAACGAAAGCAACCATATTAGCCATATCAACCATTAAGCATAGCATTAGGCATGGAGAATTAATAAATGCCATATTTTTTCATTGACATAGAGGCCCTTATTCAAGAACAGCGCCTGTTAATAATTTGTTCCCTAACTGCGGTGCTATTTCGAGCAAATACGGTAGCTCTAATACATTTAGGAGAGAAACATTAAGTTTCTTAATGAAACAGTCTCCTTTAGGCAGCCATTTATGAATATAGGCTATTTGAAGAACATTGTGGAAGGTTTCTTCTTCTATCTCTCCACTAATGTTCCCGGATATATATTGTAATATTTGTACAAAGAGTGCGGGAAATTTATTATTTGTTGTTTGCAGGCGGTGCTGTGTTTAAATTGCCCATACTATAAATTATATCGCCAAAGCAAATGTGAAAATAACAATAATTTATGGTGTGATATTTGTCGAATTTTTAATTGCATGGTAGATGTACGGTGAGAGGAGTAGATTCCAGGTTTTTGATTCTTAGCTTGTCTAAATTTATATTGATATTTAGATAACTAGCGTGTAATTAGTATTAAACTCGATGTTTTAGTAAAAAACAGGATGCCATTAAACAAATGAATGGTTTTACATGTAAGTATTAAAGCAAAAGTCACTTGAATTGCTGTTCAGGGACAAAACGTTTTTCCTGTTTGCGGCATACAGTCGTTAATCTGACGGCAACCTGTCGGCAAAATCTCGGCGGTAATATTAAGGGCTCAGCTTGGTTGGTCGAATTCTGAAAAAGGGTGGTAGATTCAAGATTTTGGATCCACTGGACTGCCAGCAGTGTCAAGAAAGCTTGTTACCATTAGCATCTGTCTACTTAAAATAGACACATTCAAAAGCCCATTGAGTGTGTTGAACCGCAGGCTACGTCAAACTTCCTCTAAACANTTCTTCTTCTATCTCTCCACTAATGTTCCCGGATATATATTGTAATATTTGTACAAAGAGTGCGGGAAATTTATTATTTGTTGTTTGCAGGCGGTGCTGTGTTTAAATTGCCCATACTATAAATTATATCGCCAAAGCAAATGTGAAAATAACAATAATTTATGGTGTGATATTTGTCGAATTTTTAATTGCATGGTAGATGTACGGTGAGAGGAGTAGATTCCAGGTTTTTGATTCTTAGCTTGTCTAAATTTATATTGATATTTAGATAACTAGCGTGTAATTAGTATTAAACTCGATGTTTTAGTAAAAAACAGGATGCCATTAAACAAATGAATGGTTTTACATGTAAGTATTAAAGCAAAAGTCACTTGAATTGCTGTTCAGGAACAAAACGTTTTTCCTGTTTGCGGCATACAGTCGTTAATCTGACGGCAACCTGTCGGCAAAATCTCGGCGGTAACATTACGGGCTCAGCTTGGTTGGTCGAATTCTGAAAAGGGGTGGTAGATTCAAGATTTTGGATCCACTGGACTGCCAGCAGTGTCAAGAAAGCTTGTTACCATTAGCATCTGTCTACTTAAAATAGACACATTCAAAAGCCCATTGAGTGTGTTGAACCGCAGGCTACGTCAAACTTCCTCTAAACAAGACGCTCCTTCAAGCGTTAAGTCGAGCTTGCTTGGAGATTGGATAGGAAATGAGGAGACGATTAATTCTACACGAAACACTGTGTCCTCGCTAAACATTTTTCACGTCCTACTTGATCAAAAGTCGAGTATTCCGTATTCGACGATTTGTTTCTGAATTGATTGAGTACGCGTGTATAAATACACGAAAACGCAATGGACATGCCGCGTCATTTCAATCATCGCCTGCTCATCACAAGACTCATTTTCATACAATGAAAGTTTACAACACCCGACCAGTTAGCCTCACCGTCGAAGTTTATTTTCTCGACCACCGAAGTATTCACTTGTTCCAAAGCAATCAACGCTTTCAAGCGATAGAATTCGCGGACCGACGCGTTCCGGAAAAGCTCTACAGCTTGTGCATTAATATTACCTAAGCTTTCTTCACAAAACATGCATGGCGCTCTGAATATGTTGTCGGCCACGTCGCGACTCTTATCCCCAGTTTCCACGGTCTCCGCTAGGAACGCTTGGGACCATAACCTCCTTTTGGCAAGCATACACGAAAAAAAGGAAACGCTTGCGGTTTAAGAGTCTCGCTGCTAAGCAAGCTCGACTAAAAAAAAAGGGCTTAAGAGCCTAGAACTATAAACGGTACAGCCTTTGTTTTATGTCATGCGCACAAGAATTTTTTTTAAGGGAGATTCTGCTCGCAGGGTTGTCCTTCCAACTATTTTACTTCCAAATTCCATGTTCAACTCCCAGTGATAGAGCATGGAAGAGTTGAAAATCAATCAACGTTTTAGGCCATTCCTTATATGGCCATTTTTCGTTAGTTTAAAATCCATGGCTCGAATGAACACTCTTCGTGGTTTTTCCTGTCACCACGTACCAGCACAGTTTTAGTAAATTTTTATCATTTTTAACCACAGCCACTACAAATAAATACAACAAATCTTGACCACTGTCTCGCCAGAAACTTTTTTTAATAACTTACTACCCAAGCAGCCCTACATACATTGCTACTTCTCCATTTTTTTTTTCACCTTTCTCATATTTCCAATAACTTATCTATCTTACAAACTTGAGCCTTGGGTATAATTATTATTTATATTTTTTTGCAGATGATTTTCTCCTCTGACTTGTCACAGTACTCTGCAAATTTTACAGTTATAGGTGGAAACGAGGCTGGAGTTGACCTTGACCTTGACCTTCCTGCTTTCTTATGTAAATCATGCTGTTGTTATGCTTACTAGTATTTTTCAAGCATAATTTCCATAGGAAAACAAAGGAGGTTTGTATCAAAACAAGGTCAACCTCAGCCTCACACTCAATCGAAGGCTAGGCTACCAAGTGCCTATCTGTAAAATCGTCTAATCGCACTTTTCGTTCAAGTTCAGTAAACAAAATAAGAGCGATTTTTATGTGCTTTACAGCAGTGCTACCACATTCCAGTTTAAACTAAAACATCTCCTGATTTGCCCGCACATTGAACCAAACCGAAGGAAAAATATCACTTTTCATTTCAAACTTATCAGGTTTAACGTTTTTTCACAGGGAAGCAGCGCTGACCAAGTGGTAATGAGGGCGCTGGAACTCTAACTTGACTTTCTTATTTCAGTCTGTAGGCTTCATCCAGGTATTTGCTTGATCTCCGTAGTTTTTCAACTAAAAACGCCACCCAAAAGAAAATGAAGGTTCTGATATGTACAGGGCCGTTCTATTGTCAATCATGTGGCGTGGTACCATACCATGTGACCAAAAGA